AATGAAAAGCAGTGAAATGACTGAGCGACATGAAGGAGGAAAAGGTGAGCTGGCTCCATTTGTGGACAAATTTATCATGGGAGGTTTGCAAGCATTACATGGTTGGTTCATTGTAATAAAGTCAAATCTTTCTGAGAAAGGTGCTTATACTACGGTTAGAATTTTATTTTATTTTAATTTATTTTTTATTAGGATATAATTCTCATACCACAAAATTCATCCTTTTAAAGTAGACTGTCAAGTGTTTTTTTTTTAAGTATACTCACAAAGCTGTGTGACCATCACCACTATGTAATTTCAGAACATCTTCATCAGCTTAAAAAGAAACTCCATGGCGGGGAGGATATAGTTCAGTGGTTAGACAATGGTTAGAGCACATGCTTAGCATGCACGAGGTCCTGAGTTCAATCCCCAGTACCTCCATTAAAATAACTAAATAAATTAACCCAATTACCTCCCCCTCAAAAAAACAAACAAAAAACCCTACAAACCAAATAAATAAAATTAAAAAATAAAAGAAAGAAACCTTATAACGCCCAGCAGTCACTCCCGTTTCCCCTCCTCCCCTGCCTCCGTCAACCACATCCACTCTCTGTCCCAGCGAATTTGTGTATCCTGGACATTTCATGTAAACAGAATTGTACAACACACGGCTTTTGTATCTGGCTTCTTTCACTGAGCACCATGTTTTCAAGGAGCCTCCACATTGCAGCACGTGTCAGTACTTCATTCCCTTCTAATGCCCAAATCATAATCCATTGTATGAAAACACCACATTTTGTTTATCCATTCATCAGTTGATAATCATTTGGGTTCTTTCCACTCAGAATGGATCAAAGACCTAAGTGTTAGGAGACAAAACTACAAAAATGCTTAGAACAGGGAGAAAGCTTCATGACATTAGGTTTGGTGATGATTTCTTGGATATGACCCCAAAGTACAGGCAATGAAAGAAAAAACCAGGTAACTCGGACCACATCACAAATTAAAACTTCCATGCATCAAAGGACACAATCAACAGTGAAAAGGCAACCCACAGGATGGGAGAACATATATGAACACCTAGAAACCATAGTCAGGACTGTCTGCAGGAGTAGAAGAAGGAGGCGTATTTCTCCAGGAGATCTGGTTTTCCAGCAGGGGAAGGTTTGTCAGCTCTGCCACAATTCTGAGTTGGGTATTCACAGCACTAAGGGGACTCACCAGGCCAGGAGACAAGATGGACAAAAGGGATCAGAGACGAGGTCTGTCAGTCATGAACCAGTTGGACCTCATCACAGAACCAGTCACCCCCACGACAGCAAGGACAAGACCGGGCGAGGCCAAGAGTATCTGAAGTGAGGCAGAAGAGGGGTCCCAGACAGAAGCCTGTTTGGAATTATGAGCAGGCAGAGGTGTGCCAGCCACCCTTCACCTTTCTTCTCTGACCTCCAGCCTCCCCGCCCTCCCTCATTCTCAGCTGGTGATGGCTGAGAACCGGGAAGCACTCAGATGAGAACTACATCATTTTTCCCAACTGCCTATTCCACCAACTACCAATATCTGTACGTACACACTCTGCCTTCCCTCTGTTAGAAAAGAAAAAACCGTCCCTGCTCCTCCTGGAAGCAAACCTCCTCTTATGCTCAGAGCCCCACCCTCTTGCCTTCTCGACGGCTGACCTCAGGTTTCATTTACCTCGTCTCCCTGCATCATCAATTTCTCCCTCTCCACGGATCCCTTTCCAGGAGCATCTCTAAAATACCCTCCCTTGACACTCTGTCCCCTTCCAGCCACTGTTCTCTGAAAATTTTGGAAGAGGTCTCCACGGTCACCGTCTCCATCCCTCACATCCATTACTCCCTGTGGTGAAAGTTACAGGGGGTCTCTGGGGCTGGCTCTCCCCCCATTCCTGGGCTCACAGGAAGATGTGCAGCCTTTTCACGTTAGATGGAGCCAGGCTCCTAACTCTGGTCCAAAGGCTGTGGTCCAGGGGATTTAAGAGTGAAAAAGAGGTCCCCCCTCCTTCTCGCCTGTCCCGCAGAGAGTGACCTGGCATGGTTACAAGACACCAGATGCACAGGAGGCTTATTTAAACAACATATAAACTTTTGTTTTGTTAAGCCCTTGGGATTTCAAGGGTGATTCGTTATCTCCGCGTAATCTAATAATACACTACTCTACACTCTTCAAATCAGTCTGATCTTCACTTCACTGGACTGCACTCAACAAAGTCATCAGTGAACACCTGCCGAATCCAACTGTCACTATTATGTCCTCGTCTGTTGCCTCTCAGCAGACAGGGCACAGTGGATCACTCCTCCTTTTTGAAGCAGTCTCTCAGCTTGGCTTGCCTGAAGCTTACTCTCCTTTGAGTCTTCTTTGCTGGATCTCCCTCATTTTCTCAACCTCTACAGTCGGAGTGCTGTGTGGTTCAGTCCTGGATCCTCCATCAGCCTTTATTTACACTTTCTCCCAGGTCATCTCAATGATCCCAAGAGAGTCAAATATCATTTGGTTGCCACTGACACCCAAATTCATATCTCCAAGTCCTACCTCTCCACTGATTTCCAAACTCATTTATCCAACTGTCTAAGCATCTCAAACTTAACAAATCCAGTTAAACATGAAACTTCTAAAATATAATAGTTTTTGTTTAGCCCATGGCCACCCAGCTAGGGGCTACATTCCAACTTCCTTTGGGTTCTTTGGGACTTACCCTAGGTGCTTCTGGATCCTGGGAGGGGTGTGGGTCGAAGGAAACTATTTCTCCTTCAATGAGAACATCTCTGCCTTTATTCTGATTTACATAATCAGCTTCCACTTAAGACTTAGGAGAAAAGAATTCCTCATCTCAGAAGCCATCTGCAGCAACCAAGATGTCCTTCAGCAGGGGATGGACTGATAACCTGCAGTACACACAGACAATGGAATATTACTCAGCACTAAAGAAACTAGCTATTAGGCCATGAAAAATCATAGAGGAAACTTAAATGCATATTAAGTGAAAGAAGAAAACTTGAATAAGCTACCTACTGTATGATTACAACTCTGACATTATGGAAAAGGCAAAACTATAGAGGTGATAGAGAGATCACTGGTTTCCAGCAGCTGAGGTTGGAGGAGACGGGTGAAGCACAGAGGATGTTTAGGTCAATGAAAATACTCTGCATAATCTAATGATGGATACATGTCATTACACAGGTGTCCAAACCTATGGGATGCACACCACCAAGAGTGAACCCTAATGTAAACTACATGCTTTGAGTGGTTATGAGTAGTTATGATGTGTCTTCAACTGCTCTAAAAAACAGAACTTCCCAACACATGACTTAACTATAAGCTGCTCCATACGCTATTGGTCACACCTACCAGCCTAGACTCTTCCTTGTCTTAAAAACCCTGCAGAAGACTCCAGTCCCCACCCTTTTAGCGCCATCTGCTGGCGGTGCCACCTCCCCTCCTCCCACTGTTGCCCCGAGTCACACCTGGGCAGCTCCCTGGGCTAGCTGCGGGTATTTGGTGTTCGTACATACAACATGGCAGACATTGGCAACAAAGAACGGTCTCAACTTGATCAAGGTCTGGATGATGCTAGAGAAGTAGAGGAGGGAGAAACTGGTGAAGAAACAAAAATCAAAGCGCTGACTGTTCAGATGATGCTAAATTCTCAGACGCCCACAGCCATTCAAGAAAGACTTGATGGCCTGGCAGAAACGCCAGCAGGATCCACTGAAAGCTTGCCTAGGATAGTTAAAACACGAGTGAATGCTCTCAAAAAACCTCCACGTTAAATGTGCACAGACAGAAGCCAAATTCCGTGAGGAAGTTCATAATCTTGAAAGAAAGAATGCTAGTCTCTATCAGTCTCTATTTGATGAGCGATTTGAGATTATTAATGCAATTTATAGACCTATGGAAGAACGTGAATGGAAACCAGATGAGGAAAATGAAATTTCAGAGGAGCTGAAAGAAAAGGCCAAGGTTGGAGATGAGAAAAAAGATGAAGAAAAAGACGACCCCAAGGGAATTCCTGAATTTTCAGTTGACTGTTTTTAAGAATGTTGACTTGCTCAATGATCTGGTTCAGGAACTCGATGGACCTATCCTGAAGCACTTGAAAGATACTAAAGGGAGGTTCTCAGATGCCAGCCAGCCTGCGAGTTTTGTCTTAGAATTTCACTTTGAACCCAATGAATATTTCACAAATGAAGTGTTGACAAAGATATATAGGATGAGGTTGAACCAGATAATTCTGATCCCTTTTCTTTGGATGGACCAGAAATTATGGGTTGTACAGGGTGCCAGATAGATTGGAAGAAAGGGAAGAATGTCACTCTAAAAACCATTGAGAAGTAGAAATACAACAGACATGGGACAGTTTGCACTGTGACCAAAACAGTTTCTAAAGACTCTAATTTTTCTGCAGCCCCCCCAAGAAGTTCCTGAGAGTGGAGATCTGGTTGCTGCTGCTGAAGCTGTCCTTGCTGTGGACTTTGAAATTGGTCACTTTTTATGCAAGCATATAACCCCAAGGTCAGTGTTACACTTTTACTGGAGAAGCTACTGAAGATGATGATGATGATGAAGGTGAAGAAGCCGATGAAGAGGGGAAAGAAGGAGATGAGGAAAATGGCCCAGATTATGACCCAAAGAAGGATCGAAACCCAGCAGAGTACAAGCAGCAGTGAAGCAAGATGTGCACGGACTGGAAGATAACCTGCCCTGGTCTGCCTTCTGCTTCCCTGGACAGGATGAATTTACATCACTTGACAAGCCTACTTCAAGCTTTTTGTCGTTTGCTTCTTTTTGTTTTTGCAGCCTAAAATTAAAATGTCAAAAAAAAAAAAGAATTCAATCCCAGTCCACTCTGGTTCCAAATTCACTGCCACTATCATTCTGGACCTGAGCATCTCAGGGTACCAGCAGCACTTCCCCCTACAGCCACGTACTACGCTTTTCCCACATAAGTGGGCAGCTGTCTTAGGAAACTCACAAGCTGGGCTGTAATTTGAGAGATTCCCGTTAGAAATTAATGGCCTGCTGTCTTGAAGCTTGGAGGATTATTGTGGGCCCAAGACTGGGGTATGAGGTTGGGGAGGAGGTTGAATCTGGTAGTAAATCTGGTAGTCAGGCGGTGGCCTTCTCTTGGCTGAGATCCAAGGAGGACCCCCTTATTTGATAGACCATGAGCCGGCTGCTTCTATTCTAAACCAGTGTTTTGTTTATTTGACTCAAGGTTGTAACACTTAGTACAAGACAAAGGAATTTGTAAGCCAAAGCAAAACGTGAATGTTTGGTGGAGAAGATGCTGTTTTTTGTCTTTAGGCACCTCCCGGTTGAAGCAACTACAGGGTCTGCGTACTGAGATCTGTGCCAGGCTACACCAGAGACACACCGAAAGAATCCATTGTCCCTATCCTAGAGTGGCTCACGTCTTCAACAGGGACAAAGACATTGTTCAAGATGTGGGTTCAAATCCCATGAGTAAATTTGGTCAAATGAGGCTAGTTCCCCTGGATAAGTAATATCAAAACTGCTTTTGGTAGATGTGAATCAGTGGCCTCTTGGGTGACCGACCATTTTTGTCTTCAATTAATAAAAAAGGAGAAAACTTTGGTTCTGAGCTCCAAAAACATCTGCTGGACAAAGATGCTCTAAAGATGAGAATTTCATAAACTCTAGGGCCCTACATCAGTTATTCAAAGTATTAATGACTTCATTAAAAGGAGTCTGTTTGGAGACTTCTGATGTTGGTAACTTGGTTCACATGCCAAATAGTAATCTTTCAGGCAGCATTATTCACAATAGCTAAAACATGGAAGTAACTTGAGTGTCCATCCATGGATGAGGGGACAAGCTAGCTGTGACATGTCCATCCAATGAAATATGATTCAGCCTAAAAAGGAAGGACATTCTGACAGATGACACAATGTGGGTGAATCTTGAGGTTAATATGCTAAACAAAATAAGCCAATCACAAAAAGACAAATACCGTATGACTCCACTTAAAATATTTACAGTAGTCAAAATCATAGAAGGAGAAAATAGAATGCTTGCCAGTAGAAGCCGGCGGGGACGGGAGTGGGAAGTTATTGTTCAGTTTTACAAAATGACAAGAGTTAGAGAGATGGACGGTGCTGACGGTTGTAAACTTTGTGAATATATTTTATATCCCTGAAATGCACATTTAAAAATGGTTAAAATGAAACACGTTGCTCTAGGTACTTCACCACAAATGAAATTGGGAGAACAAGTACCCGAGATGGTTGATACCCCCGGACTCCTGCTAAGAAACCTTCCTCCCTCATCCACTGGGTTATCGACGTGCTTTTCAACAAGTGGTTTCACTTCCACGCCAAACTTCGTGCTTCCTGTCGACTTCCTGTAACACGTATTAACTTTCACTTCTGGCTTGCTGTGGCTGCTCTGTTTTGGATGCCACTTTCTTTTGAAGTCAACATTAACAACTCGGGTAGGGAGCCTGTATCTTTTTGCCTCAGTAAAAGCAAAAGCAATCAAACACCCTTGCGCTTTTCTCCTTTAATTCCAGTAGACGTCCAACACGAGCTATGTCGGGCTCTGTTGGTTTTTGGATTACTTAACTCCTTCTTTTACTTAAAAATAAAAGGGGAGAATTTTATTAGAAACTGTGCAGAGCCACAGGCCCCAAAGGACTGGGTCAGAACCTAGCCAGTGCGGACAGACAGCTCCACAGGGACAGAAGCAATTTGTAGCTCCTTTGGGGGCTGAGCAGAGAACAGCTATAGACTGCATTTCCTTTTTCCTCTTCTTTTCTTCCACTCAACTCTTCTGTTTTTCTGTTGTTTCCAGTCCACACTGAAGTCATCTTCATCCTGCCACGTGACAACATTCAGATCAGCAGCTCCAAGTAGACAGTGAGCGAGGGTGAGGTTCTCGTACTGTCCTAAAATGATTGCTGGTTCTTAGTAATTGAAAGGAAAGCTAATATGTGGGTTTTGTTTTTTTTTTTAGATTTTTTAAAGACAGCTTTTTTGGACTATAAGTAACATGCAGTAAAGTGTACAATCTGATAAGTTTTGACCTATAGACCCAAGAAATCATTAACACAATCAAGAAACTGAACACATTCATCACCCCCAGGTTTTCTCATGCATCTTAGTTAATTCCCCCTCTTGCCCTCCTCATCTGTGATCTACAGGCACCTGCTCTCTGCCACTACAGATTAGTTTGTGTTTTCCAAAAATGTATGAAATTTCATGGAATCAGCGTGTGTACTCTCAACTGTTTCCTTTCAGCCAGTATAATTATTCTGAGATTGATTAATTTTGTTGCATGTCTCATTGCTGAATAGTGTTCCATTGTATGGCTATACCACAATTTATTTATTCATCACCAAGTGGTGGACATTTGGGCTGTTTCCAGTTCTTGGCTGACAGGCAAAGGTGCTATGAACATTTATGTACAAATCTTTGATGGGATATAGGCTTTTATTTCCTGTGGGTAAATACTGAGAAGTGGAATGGCTGAACTGTATGGTAGGTATATGGTAAACTTTTTAAGAAGCTGCTAAACTGTTTTGCAAAGTGGTGTACTATTTTGCACCGCCAGCAGCATTGTATAAGAACTAACACGTGATTTTTAAACATAAACTTTTCCAACGTTATTTCCTAACAGCAAGGGCTTTTTCCTAGGGGATCTAGGTGCTGTTCATTTTCATTTTTCTCACTCCCTTCTCACTACCTGTTCATCTCATTGTTTCCCCCTATTTATACATTCATGCTAAATATACACTTTTATCTGTATGATGACCTTCATACATTAAAAAAATTAAATGGCCTGTCCCTTCTCTCTTCCTGTCTCTCTCAGCTCTCAGCCACCTGGCTAACGGGCTTCAGGGGAAGGGGCCCCTCCCTCCATCCCCGCAGTGTCCTGCCCGGTGAGTCTTTAAGGACTTCTGCAGTTCAGCTCTGGGGTCAGACAGAAGAGGCTGTGTTGGGTTCAGTGCTTCTTTGCTCACTGCGTTGGTGGCCCTAGGCAGATTCCCACACCGCTGATTCCCTGTTAAACCGGTGAGGTTGTTGCTATTCATGCTGAGGCTTGAACACAGAGCTCAGTTAATAGTGGGGATGGTGGGGATCTCTTCCTCCCGCTGCCCGCCGGGAGGGCAGATGGGAAAGAGGACCAAAAAGAGCTCCGGGTGATGGTGGAATGGAAAGTGGTACAATTCTTCCCTGAGCAATTTGGCAACATGCAGAAAAGTTGAAGAAACTGAATACAATGACCCAGCAATTCCTCCTAGAGGAATTCACAGAAATACACAGGAGGCAAGTATAAGAATCTTTGGTACCTCATTGCTTGTTGTGAGGAAAACTCAGGGCAGCCTGAATACTTCATAAGAGAACTGGTAAGTATATTGTGGTCCTCATACAATCGGCAGAATACAGAAGAGAATGACTGAGTTGGAGCCACAAAGATAAACTTGAACAGCATAATATTGAGGGAGAAAAGCGGGATAGCAAAAGAAAACATCTAGCATCATAACATCTGTATAAAGTTTAAAAAAAGTAAAATAATAGTTTTATTGCCTTGATACATGTATACATAGAGAAGTATAAAAATAAGTTTGGGAGTAATAAATACAAATTCAGAATAATGGTTACCTTATTCTTTGTGTGCAGAAAGGGAGATACACAGGGGACCTCAAATGTATCTATTTTATTTTTTTTAAGATCTAAAGTAAATATGGGGCAAAATGTTAAGATCTGATGAAGCTGGTGTGCAGGTACCCGGGTATTTTTATATATTTTCTATACACTTATTATGTTGGTGATATTTTGTAATGAAAAGTTAAAGGTCCTAGTCAACCCACAGGATTCACAGAAATCGATTCCTTATAATCTGTAAGATTCTCCATCATATCTATTAAAAATAATTGATGTGTTTTATTTCACAGGTGGCCCACAAGAGGGAGACCTAGAACAATTCAGTCACCAGATGTATAGATGTCTGTAAGGAGGCAGGGCATCTTGGGGGGCTTTGCCTGAACCCCACTGAAACTAGGGACCACTGAGGCTCCTGTCTGGCCTCTGTCTAAGGCAGAGCATTTTTGACACGTTCACAAATCTCCAGGGCAACCACTCTTGGTAAAGAAGACACGTCTCAGGATGCAGTGAGAAACTGAACAGGGTTTAAAAAATGCCATTTCACGAGATGTTTGCAGAGTAAAGGGCACGTGGTGACAAGAGGAAAGTGGATTAACAGAGCGCAGGCAAACGTGTGCACTGGAGCCTGCGGCCAGGCGCTCGGGGTCTGCTCCCTGGGACAGCACAGAAAACCAGACACTTCCGCCGCTGATCCAGGGAACACGGAGAAATACTGGTCTAGCCATTCCTACACGGCAGCTAGAAACAATATAGTCAGTGATGAGCACTGCTGTCTACAGCTTGATTTGCCTTTACCATTAGGAGGACCCTCTCAAAGGTTTAAAGTGGGTACGGAGATTTGCAAGCTTTTCCAGTCACACTGCCTCTTATTTTATTCCTTTTTCATCAGGTGCCAAACGGTTTTAGTAAAAATTGTGAAGGATACATTAATTGAGTATAGTCTCTTCATTGGAGTCTTAGTGAACCAGGAAGAAACTGCCATCACTTTGGGCCATTACTATTTAGTGCCTCCTCCCCTCTGGGAAGGCAGGGAGCCCCTACCTCGGCAGCAATCTTATCTCCAGTAGCAACCCTTGCGCGTGGAACTCAAAAAACGTTTGTGAAGTGAATGCTGTAGCCAGGTGTCCATCGACCAATGAGTGGATAAGCAAAATGCAGTATATACATGAATGGAATGTTTTTCAGCTTCCACAAGGAAGGTGTCCCTGTTACACGCTACAACGTGGATGAATCCTGAGGATATGTGGCATGAAATAAGGCCATCATAAAGACACAAATACTATGTTTCCACCTATATGAGGTCCTAGAGTCACCAAATTCATAGAGACAAAGTAGAATGGAGGTCATCAGGGGCTGGTGGTGGGAGGCGGAATGGGGAGTTCGTGTTTAATGGGGTCAGAATTTCAGTTTTAGGGAGATGAAAACATTCTGGAGGTGATGGTGGTGATGGTTGCACAACGTGCTGAACACTGCTGAACTATGCACTTAAAAATGGTTAAAATGGGAAATTTCATGTTATGTATGTTTACCACGACTTTAAAGATAAGGAAAGAAATTCATGCAATAGAACACTGGAGAGAGTAAACGTCCCTCTGTGCAGGCTGGAAAGGCTCTGGATGGTTCTAAGTTAGGTAAGTGGCCCCCGCCACCCTGACTGCTCGGTGGGCGTGTAGGGGGTGGGGACAGTCCGGTGCTCGCTGACCCCAAACTCAGGAGCCTGAGTCTGGTTCCGGGTCCAGCACATGGGTCTTGCTCCCCCCAAACATGGCCCCCAGGGGTCATGTTTCATTTGAATGCCAAGAGAAGCTGGGACCAACAGAAACCAAGGGAGAGACGTGAGAAACCACCCCACCTGGTAAGTTGTATCACAGGTCAGTGGGATCACGGAAACCACCAAGCAGCGCCGGGGTAGTGAGGGAAGACCAGAAAGGTCTTTGTGCCGAGAATACGCTCTGTTGTGTCCTTCTCCCCCACCACACCCACCAGGCTAAGATTCCCGGGTGCACAGGATCACTGGTCACACCCGACGAAGAATGGGGAAAAGGCAGGAGACAAGAAAAGAACACCTGCAGGAAGAGTGAAACCCCAGCACATCTTCAGTTTCAGAGACAGAAGGTGGATTCTGCAACCCATGCATCTGGGACGTGGAAGTTGCTCCAGGCAAGGTCCTGGGTTCTAGGACCCAGAACAAAGGGCATCCTTGGAGGGAAGTTTGTCACTGGGAGAATTGCGGTCCTCCAGAATTCTCAGAAAAAGGCTGCCACTAACCCAATTTATGAGTAAAGGGTTTTCACTACACAATCAGGTAACAACTACGACCAGATCTTGGCTTTAACCCACGTGTCAGACCGTTGCTCTATGTGGTAACAGAAAATATGCATGTTTATTGGTCTCTGCCAGGGTTCCTGGCACAGAGCTCTGAAATCCTCTGGAATTCCCTGGCTGATAGTAGTGATCAGACGCTCAGAATATCCTGCCCCTGTACCTGCCTCGTCCCCTACCTGTTCTCCTGAGAGGCAAGGAGGGCTGGGCATGGAGTTAACCATCTATCATGCCTCTGTGATGAAGCCTCCATAAAAATCTCCAAAAAACGGGTTCATTCTCTCCCTCTCCCTCCCTCCCCTTCTCTCTCTCCCTTTCTCTCTCCCTCCCTCTATGATTGATTAGCAATGCCTACTGCAGGCACAGAGAGGCGGTGGGGGGTCTGCATGCTACACATTTGCCACCTTTGTTCTACTTTTCCCTTGATAACCCCCAACCCATTCTCCCTCCTGC